CGCTTCCTGCGAATTTTTCAGACTTTGACTCTGCTTCTAAACGACCGGTCGCCCAAACCTTGCGACCGGTCGCTCACTCCTTCGCATGCATACTAAATGTGAGCCAATTTTACAACACACAATAATCTGCTATATAGGTGTCCGTAATTTCATTTCCTTTCAGACATATTCCAATGTTCTTCTTTCTTGTTTCAATAATTTTTCTTTTTGATATATATATATATTTTTGAAGTTCAACTTGATATCATTGGTTATGTAAGTAGTAATCAGTACATAGTTTGATAATAGAATATTGGCATTGGTCTTCCTGCGAACAAACTAATTTTGTGTTCGTTACATGTTTAAGTCCATAAAATTAAGAAGTTGCTGCAGGTTTTTCTTGCCCTGCATCTGGAAGAACTTCATGACTTGGTGAAGCAACTGTAGGGAAATGGCTAGGCATATTGAATTGCTTAGTAAAGCACTGTGAGGTATAAAAGCCCTGTCAAAATGTGCTGTTGATCAATCCAAGTAGTTAGTCAAGCGAAAATTTGGTCACAAGCTTCTTCGAATGTATGCAGAGGTTTGTGTCTGAAGATTGTCCAGTTTTCTTTCTTCTTGATGCTCCAAGGTAGTGTTTGGGAGTGCTTAAATTTTTTAAAAAGCAGCTTTAAAAAAAAAAATTCAAAACTAAAGTGTTTGGTAAACATCAACAATCAGCTTTTTTTTTTAAATTGCCGTCAGCGACCCCTGTTTTTTCAAAGCAGGGAGAAGGCAGCTTTCAAAAGCTGCTTATAAAAAAATTTAACTGGTGGTTTTAATGAAACTTCGGCTTTCCGATATTGCCCTCACTTATTTTTCAAATGGACAATCTTTGTCCCTTACACAACTCCCATCTGCAAACTTTGCATAGAGAAAGGAGAAGAAGATAAAATCTTTGAAAAAAAATTGTAGAAAGGAGAAGAAGAAGCCCCATCAAATCAAAGAAGAATTCATACTCAAGCGAAGAAGAAGCCCCTACAACCTTGAAGAATAGTTCAAGAATCTAAGATTCATGGTGAAAATATAATATAAGCAGGTGGTCATGTTCCGTAGGCGATGTCAAAGCGTGGACAAGTAAACACCCAACACCAAACAACCAAGTTGTGGGCTTCTGTTGAAGATTGTGCCCAGAAAATTACTTGCCCTTTACATCACATCACATCTGTGATACCTTCACAAGTATAAAATCTCACTGCTTTGCGTATAAAAACAGACCCAGATGAGGAAATTCGCAAGCGGCAGACTCTCACCAAAATAAAATCCAATCTTACAATCCCACTCACATACATAGGGCAAAGGACCATGAACTCAAACCTCTCTTGATATGGGTTTGGATTGAGTTTTGGGTTCGAAAATTCTTGATATGGGTTGTTTTTTAATCGGTGTTTTGAGGCGATGGAGAGAGAGATGGGGTGGGTACGGTGATGGGTTTGTTTGTTTTTAATTTTAATTTTGTATATATATTTTTATATTTTATTCATACTAGCCTCTCCGTAAGCGCTTCCGCGCCTGCAAGAGGCTTTTTTTTATTTATAAAAATTTAAAATTTATTTTAGAATTAAAAAAATAATGGGTAGTTGTGTTCCATAAAAATAGGCAATTATCTGATTTTTCTTTTAATTTTATTTTTTTTTAATATAAAAAAGTGTGAATTTACCATATTATCCTCATTTAATTAATAATTTCAATTCTTAATGTTTGCATTAACCAAGGGTATTTTCTGGTATTTTGAATGTTTCACCATTCTCTACCTTTTTGCTTTATATATATATATATATATAGATAACAGTATATATATATAACAATATTTTTTAGATTAAATTTTTTGATAAAAAAGTGTAAATTAAGAAAAGAAAAAAAATTATGTAGTGAAGTTGGGTTTCTTAAAAAAAAGAAAAAGAAAAAGAATTAAGTAAAAAACAAACAGATTTATCATCATGCCTTTTTTGGTCATTATACACACTGAAAGCGCTTCTGATAAAAATTTACTAAACACTTTGACTACTCACAGCAGTTTTTCAAAACCAGTTTACCAAACGCCTAGCTGCTTTTTTTCACAGCTGATTATTTTCGCAGCACAGCAGAAGCAATTTTTTTTAAAAGCACAGAGATGTTGGAGCAGTTTTTTTTTAAGACAGTTTTTTTTATAAACTGTTGGCTTCTAGTAATGAAGGGAATATAGTGTGGCCAATGATGAGCCATGAGCTCTCTATGCAAGCAATGGGCAGGGCTATTGTATTATTGTAATTAGGGGTGGGCTCGGTTTGGGTTGGTTCAGTTTTTGGCTCAACTCGAACACCAAACCGTAGGCCTCGGTTTGGCTATTTTGGAAACCGAAATCAAACCATAGTTGATGAAAACCGACCACTTCGGTTAACCGGACTTAGTGGGTTGGTTCGGTTTGGTTTGGATAAATCGTGGTTTTGAATTTTGCAAACCGTAAACCGAACTATATATTTCGGTTTGGTTTGTGTTCAAACCGATAAAAAAAAATTTGAAAAAAAACCAAACCAACACAACCCATCGGTTTGGTTTGGTTAAATCGTGGGTTTGAATTTTGCAAACCGTAAACCGAACTATATATTTCGGTTTGGTTTGTGTTCAAACCGATAAAAAAAAATTTGAAAAAAAACCAAACCAACACAAACCATCGGTTTGGTTTGGGCGGTTTGACTGGGTTATCAGTTTGAATGCCCACCAGACACATTGCAATGCTCTTTTTAATAATTTCGGCCTCTCTTGTTTTTATGAAAAAGGGGGGCAAAGCCCCAGCACAAGAAATTTTGTCCATTTCAAATAAGTTGAAGTCAAGATTTTTGTTTTTGAATAGTTAACAAGCTAATTTTAATTGTTTTCAAGTGCATATACAATTTAAAAGTTGCAGGTTGAGGTTTCCTGCATCTGAAAGAATTCTTTTGGTTAGTAAAAAGTAAAGAATTGCCAGGGATCAAATCCAGTTAAAGGTGCTTTAGATCGAATGAAAATTTGTTCCAAAGCTTCTTTGACTGCAGAGATTGTTTCTGAATAGATTTAAGTGCGCTTTCTTTCTGAAATTTCAGTGGTGTTGTTGCTTATTGAAGACTGGGGTTCTTCGTAAATTTCAATTGGGGTTGGTAACTGCTCCAAAACATTTTCCCATCTTTAATGAACACAAGTCTACATTCCTGAACTCAATGTTGATGGTGCTCTTAGTTTGACTTCTGGCTTGCGTGGCGTTGGTGCAGTGTTGTGGGATTTCTATGGTCGTCTCTGCGGCACGGGGGCAATGCGTGCTCCCAGCCTGCTATTGATACTGGCTACTGAGTTATATGCCCTGAAAATTGGAACTTTCTTTGCAGTGGATGCTTCCTTTTCTCCACTTCTAGTTGAGTCTGATTCCTTGAGTGCTATTCAACTCCTTCTTAATAAGGAGGAGACCTGCTACGGGGTGGAAGGAGCTCTTGTGGACAAACTCCACTGGCTACTTGCTTCTTCGTTGTCCCTCTCTGTGAAGGAAGTTGAGGTTCCACCCCAAAACCAATTGGCAGTGGGGGGAGTAGCCAAACTCCTTATAAGCCCTTGCTAGATTTCTCAACTTTCCAATGTGGGACTCTTTACCTTCACATTCTTACACGCCCCCGCACGTGTGGCGAATTTTCAAGCCTAACACGTGGACAACACATATTGGGTGACGTGGAGCACGTGTGCCCGTTGGGCTTTCACACGTGAGCTAACCTGGCTCTGATACCATGAAGGGATTTAAGGTTCCACCCCAAAACCAATTGACAGTGGGGGGAGTAGCCAAATTCCTTATAAGCCCTTGCTAGATTTCTCAAATTTCCAATGTGGAACTCTTTACCTTCACATTCTCACACTCTGCTCGTTTTGATCCCCACACTGCTAATGGAGTTGCAGATCATTTCATGCGTTTCAGTCTTGGTCAGGAGGATTTATCCTTTTAGTTTACTGATCCACCACTTTGGTTGCGTTATTGTTTGTATGAGGACTCTTCTACTAGTCGTGATGTTTCAATCTTTTGCAGTCTCTGGCATGTATGGTACTCTTTTCTCCTCTAAGGTTTTGTCCCATTGAGTTTTCTCCAGAGAGATTTTAATGAGGCCACCTATATACATGATGTCTCAATTGTAATGATATACCCATTTTCTTAAAAAAAAAAATAATAAATAAAAAAAGTTCTAACGTTCCCCTTTTCTCGAAATCGTACAAGCCCAAGCAACTTGTATAAGCACAAAATTTGAAAATAATAATAATAATAAGATACCGTGTTTTGTACTTTTGTATGAAAACACCAGTCAAAACAACTCACATGGTGGAAAAGAAGCTAATTAGCTTGTGGTTAAGGAAAGAAAGGCCATTTGGAAAGTTTGGGATTTTTGGGTGACAAGGATTTGGAGATTGCACGTGAGTTGAGATGATGATTTGTTTGGGTAATAAGAGAGCGTTAGTAGGGACTCGGTTTGGGAAAGAAAAAAACATAAAACCTACCCTAGCTGACGTGGATAGCTCTAATCCATTGGATTCATCTGTACTAGGGTTTTTGTTGCGATTTAATTAGTAATTAGTTGATTTCTTACCTTAGAAGGATTCCTAGTGATTCTAGAATAGTTATAATTAATAATTCCCTGATTGATGAGAAGCTGTATGATGAGAGCCTATATATGATCACCCATGTATACAAAGCCATAAGAAACTTAGGTTAACAATCCCTACAAGAAATCGATTATGGCTACCAGAAAAATCCCAAATCACCCAAACACAAACAAGAATAATCTGAAGGGAAAGCAAAACTCCATGGCCACCGCCAGAATACCTCACTTACCTGTCCTTGTTATCCACCATGTCCTCCAATTCCTTCCCACAAAACATGCCATCCGCATGAGCTCTCTTTGCAAGCAATGGGCAGGGCTGTGGTCTTCAGTCCCAGTACTAGATTTCGAAGAGGAGGCGGACGAGCCACATGCAAAGTTCATCAATTTTGTGGACAGGTGTTTGGAAATTCATGAGAAATACGAGCACTTAGACAAATTCCGGCTTCGCAATTCTTTCCCTTCAGCTGAAAACAGATATAAATTGGACAAGTGGTTGGGTTTTGCAGTTGAAAGAAGAGTCAAAGAGTTAGATATCAGCTATATATCCCCGTTCCGTGGCGTTGTGTCACTCTCGCCCCTTCTTAATGCAAAGTCTATAACTAGTTTGAATTTGGAGAATGTGATCATAGCGGACAGGGGTGAACCTATAAGCCTGCCCTCATTGAAAATTCTGTCCCTAACAACAGTGAGACTCGAAGCCTCGTCTGTTATCTCCTCATTGATTTCAGGCTGCCCTTCCATTCAGTATTTGTCCTTAACTTCATCTTCTTCCTCCGACTATTATATAATATCCATGCAGACCCTTCTTGATGCAAAGTCTTTAACTTCCTTGAATCTAAAGTTCGTTGTAATAACGGATGACATTAATAATGATCCTCCTATAGGCAGCCTTCCCTGTTTGAAAACAGTGTCCCTCACAACTGTGGAAATTTATTACGGGACTTTCGCCCAATTAATTTCAAGTAGCCCTTCCCTTGAGCATTTGTCAGTATCCATAAGTTTCCCTTATTATAAGTATAGTCTACCTTCCTCCAGTCTCAAATCCTTTGAAGTTAGAATTTCCAATTCAGACGTGGTTCGAGTCATTGGAGCTAAGAGTCTTGAATCTTGTACCTTGGTTTTAGAATCCCCAAAGCAGATTAAGCGTATACGGTTGGATCGTTGCGAAAACTTGAAACATTTGAGCATTCGTGCTCCGCAGCTCCCAAACTTTACACTACAACTGCATGGTTGCAAACATCTTGTGAATGCCTCACTTGACATTCCAAAGTTGTATTTTACTAGAATCAGCTCCAATGTTGAATGGAGACATTTTTATTCACTGGCAAATTATCTTGAAAAATTTCAAAGTTTCGAGAATATATCACTATATGTTGATGATGCTGAGGTGAGTCTACAATATCCATTGCATGCATATATGCTTTGATAGATTTTGATTTTGTAATTTTTTGTATTCTATTCCAACTTGTGCTGCAATTAATTCTTCCCCACTGATCATGATTTCCCTTTTGAATCTTGTTTGTGCATATTGTAGGCTCTTATCTTCCCAAAAAATATGAGAAAGTTCTACGATCCACCATTACGTACTGTCAACACTACTCTTACAGTATTCCTCAGTTCTCCAAGAGGTGCAAAAGATTCTGAGTTGAGGCACTCTTTGTTTTGGTTGGGACCTGAGTATATATCAATAATATACTCTGACCTTTAGTCCCAGCGCAAGTAAAGGAGGGTGCGGTAATGGGCTAGGAATAGTACCTTAAGAGCATCCGGAATGGAAGAACTGTATATTTTTAACAGTATATATGTAATATGAATGATGGTAAAGTATGATGATTGATGTAGAACAGATGGCGGAAGCAATCGAAGAGGAGTTGGAGCGACATGCGAACAAAGGCAAATTTGGTAAACTGCAGATTTAGGCTCCGAACTCAGAATTGGACCCATGACCCGTCGATTTAAAGGGAACGACATCAAGAGTAAAACTCATTGTTTTTCTATGATGCATGGGCTTTTTTCGGGCATCCGAGAATGTTTAGTAGCCTGAAATCCAATTTTAAAGTTTTTACTGTTTTTGGAAACTTTGTTATTTTCCTATTTTAATTCCTTTGTTATTCCTAAGGTTTCTAAAAGTATTTAAGCTTACTTTACTTGTGATTAGGATTATGCTTTGTTATTCCAATTTTATCAATAAATCTTGAGGTTTCCTCATATCTTCCTGGTGAATTCCAAAGTTACATTTTTTAAGCTAAGGTTTTAACTAATCAATTGTCACGCTGCGTCAATGATGATGTCTCAATATTTGTTTTTGTAGTTAATATAAGGCTTAATTACACCAATGCCCCCTGAAACTTTGGTCAAATCCCACTTTCATTCCTTGACCGAGATTTGGTGACCTACTTTGCCCTTTGCCATCAACTCCATCCAAAAGTCTTGTTAACTTTGATGATGTGGCAATGGTGTTGTTGTAATTTCGTACACATGGATCATTATCCACCAATTGAGTGAGCGACATGGCTAATGGAGCCCACCTCCACATAGATAAAAACATAATTAAATATTCTAATAATAAAAAACTAAAATAAAAAACATTAAAAGAAACTACATTAAAAATTTTACTTCACCAACAGCCCCCTAGATGCACCCCTCTCTCCTCGCCCACACCATCTCTTTGCACCTAGACAACCCCCCTCGCCCGCCATCTCTTTGAATGCACCTCCCCTGCGACCCACAACCAATCTCAGCCCCTACCCCTCCCTCAATGCCTGAAACTAATAGAAGAAAAATAAATAAAAAAATGCAACCAAAAAAAGAAAACACTCTATCCCCCAGCCACCTTCTCCGATCCAACCTAAAGATCCGCCACCGACCCACCCCAACAGGCCCTACCCGGCGCCAGCCCAACCCAACCCCGAAAGATTTGCTGCAGGTTTTTGTTGCCCTGCAGCAACTTCTTAATTTGTTACACATAATTCGAAATCGTACAAGCCCAAGGAACTTGTATAAACACAAATTTGAAAATAATAATAATAAGAATAAGAAACCGTGTTTTGTACTTTTGTACGAAAACACCAGTCAAAACAACTCACATGAATACAAGCAGAAGAAGCTGATTAGCTTGTGGTTGCAAGAAAGAGAAGGCCATTTGGAAAGTTTGGGTTTTTGGGTGACAAGGATTTGGAGATTGCACGTGAGTTGAGATGATGATTTGTTCGGGTAATAAGAGAACGTTAGTCTCAAATCCATTGAAATTACTATGAAATGGAAATGGAATTCCAAGGCTGTTGAAGTAAATGGAGCTAAGAATCTTGAGTCTTTCACCTTGGATTCATTCAATTCGATGCAGTTTGAGAGTACACGGTTGTATGGTTGCAAAAACTTGAAATACTTGAACATCCATGCTCCGGACCTAGCAGACTTTACACTACATGGATGCAATGATCGTGTGAAGGCCACACTTCATGTTCCAAATTTGGATTGTGTTCGATGTACTGTTTTTGGGACATGGGGAACTTCTTCTACTCTGACAGATTATCTAGAAAAATTTGATTGTTTCAAGGAATTATCGCTATACATTGAGGATGTTGAGGTCAGTCTACATCCATTGATCATGATCGTTTTTCAGTTAGTATGTATTTTATAAACATCAATTCTGAAAAAGGTGCAAAACATTGTGACTTGAGGCACTCTTTATTTTGGTTGGCACCTTGTGCAGAGTTTCTATCAATGAAATACTCTGACATTACTTCTGAGTACAAGTACAGGAGGAAAGTTCTTTAAAGGTGCACTCTTGTATCTTGGTACGTATACAAGAAAACTCAGCATCCCAGTTTTTCTGAGTTTTAATATCATGTTGAGTTTATTTTAGTGCTCTCGAAGACACATTGCAATGTTGTTGTTTCAATAATTTTCTCTCCTCCAAATCCACTATATTTATTTACGTATTTTTTGAATAAATAGAATGTTAATTAACATTAGTTTTCCCACTTCATGATCTAAGGTTATTGGCTAATCCCTTCACTGTATGGCCAAGTTAGTTGCTTTTGTACTTCAGTGCACGAAACAGGAAGAACTTCTAAAGTTTGTTGAAAACAAGATTAGCTATTTAACCAATGTAAGAGAAGCATCATAATATACAATGAGCATTTTTAAAGCAGATTTTATTTGAAAGTGTTAAGAACTTTAAAAATGATCATGTTATATATATATGACAGTTTTCAATATCACCCAATAGAGGCTTTTGGATGGAGTTGACAGCAGGGGACAAAGTGGGTCACCAAACCTCGGTCAATAAATAAAAAGTGGGCCATTTTGAGGTTTTTTTTTTTTTTTTTGGGGTGGGGGGGGGGGGGGGTGGTTTGACCTGATCAAAGTTTCAGGGGGCATTGGCAGTGTAATTAAGCCTTAATATAATTTCTTTTGACTTAACTCTTGTAATAGAGCTTGTGGCGCAGGAAAGAAAAGGCCATTTGGAAAGTTTGGGTTTTTTGGGTGACAAGGATTCGGAGAAATGCCATGTGAGTTGAGATGATGATTTGTTTGGGTAACAAGAGAGCGTTAGTCTAGGGGTGGGAAAGAAAAAAAAAAACATAAAACCTATCCTAGCTGACGTGGATAGCTCTAATCCATTGGATCCATCTGTACTAGGGTTTATGTTGCGATAATTATGTAATTAGTAATTAGTTGATTTCTTACCCTAGAAGGATTCCTAGTGATTCTAGAATTGTTGCGAATAATTCCCTGTAATTACGGTGTTAGGGTTGTAATTACGGTGTTATGATGACCCATGTATATAAAGCCATAAGAAACTTATTAGGTTAACAGAAAAATCCCCCAAATCACCCAAACACAAACAAGAATAATCTGAAGGGAAAGCAAAACTCCATGGCCACCGCCACAATACCTCACTTACCTGTCCTCGTAATCCACCACGTCCTCCAATTCCTTCCCACAAAACTTGCCATCCGCATGAGCTCTCTATGCAAGCAATGGGAAGGGCTGTGGTCATCAGTCCCAGTTTTAGATTTCGACGAGGAAGACGAGCCAGACGACAGACTACAGCATGCAAAGTTTATCAATTTCTTGGACAGGTGTTTGGCGTTCCCCAAGAAATACGAGTACTTAGACAAATTCCGGCTTCGCATGACGTTGTTTTCAGACGAAGACGAAAAGAAAGTTCTAGAGTGCTTGCGTTTTGCAGTTGAAAGAAGAGTCAAAGAGTTGGATATCAGCATCAATAATACATATCACTGTGATTGGTATTGCTTATCCTGGAGGTGGAACGTTCTCAATGCAAAGCCTATAGTTATTTTGAATTTGAAGAATGTGACCATATCGGACAGCCATCAGCCTATAAGCCTGCCCTCATTGCAAACTCTGTCCCTCAGAGATGTGAGCCTCACAGCCGCGTCTCTCTCCGCATTAATTTCAGGCTGCCCTTGCATTCACTATTTGTCGTTATTAACTTCATTCTTTTCCTTTCACTATTATAACATATCCCTGCAGACTCTTCTTGATGCAAAATCTTTAACTTACTTGAATATAGAGTGCGGGAGATTCTGGGCTGACAATAATGATGTTCCTATAAGCCTTCCATCATTGAAAACTCTCATCCTCAGAATAGTGACTCTTCATTACTACTATCCTCTCTCCTCATTAATTTCAGGGTGCCCTTGCATTCAGTATTTGCGGTTAACTGGATATCTTCAGCCCTACTATGAGTTATCCATTCAAACCCTTCTTGATGCAAAATCTTTAACTTCCTTAAGTCTAGAGCGCGTGAAGATACTACCAGGTGACGATAATAATGATCGTAAAGCTGTAGGCCCTCTGTCTTTGAAAACAATGTCCCTCAAAAAGGTGATCCTGGATGACATGACTTTCGGTCGTTTGACGTCAGGGAGCCCCTGCCTTGAGCATTTGTCAGTATCTTTAATATCTGATCATATTCATATACCGCGTTCCAGTATCAAATCCTTGCAAGTTACGAATATCAATTCTACGACGTTCCGAGTAAGTGGAGCTAAGAATCTTGAATCTTTTACCTTGATTTCAGAATGTTCAACGCAGATTGAGAGTATACGGTTGGATTGTTGCAAAAACTTGAAATATTTGAACATCCGTGCTCCAGACCTGCAAGAATTTACACTTGAATTTAATGGACGCAAAGATCGTGTGAAGGCCACAGTTGATAGTCAGACTTTGGATTATCCTATAATCAACTTTTTGGGGAAAGAGTCACCGTGCCATGGAAACATGTTTCTTCACTGACAAAATATCTTAAAAAAATTGATTGCTTCGAGACTATATCGCTACATGTCGATGATGAGCTGAGTCTATATCCATTGCATGCTGTGATAGATTTTGTAAGTTTTTGTTTTTGACATTCTATGCAATTAATTCTTCCTCCCAGAGGTGCACAAGATTCTGAGTTGATCAGGCACTCTTTGCTTTGGTTGGCACCTTTTGTAGAGTCTCTGTCAATGATATACTCTGACGTTTCGTTCCGGCACAAGTACAGAAAGAAAATTCTTTAAAGGTAAAAGGTGCACTTTGTATTTTGATACACAAGAAAAACTCAGTCAATAGTCTAGTTTTGTTGAATTTTGGTATCATGGTGCAGTCTGTTGTGATGCACCCGAAGACACATTGCAATGCCCTTGTTTTTTGTTTCAATAATTTTCTCCATTTTAAATAAGGTGAATTCAAGACTAATTACTTGTTTCCAAGTGTATACAATTTAAAGTTGCAGGTTGTGGGGTTTCCCTGCATCTGAAAGAATTTTTTGGTTAGTAAAGCATTGCCAGGGATAAAAAGGTGCTTTAGATGAAATCAAAATTTGTTCCAAAGCTTCTTTGACTGCGGAGTTTGTATGGCCAATTTAGTTGCTTTTGTACTCTTCAGTGCACGAAACAGGAAGAACTTCTAAAGTTTGCTACAAAATTCTTTTTTGTTTTTTAAGTAACAACCGCAGAAATTTCACTACTACTGAAAAATGCTGACCTTTTTTCCGGAAATGTTGACCCTTTTTTTTTTTTCCAAGGAAATGTTGACCATCTGATACGGCTCAGATACGCAATCGATATGTCTGATTGTGTTGGTGCCCTAATAAATTATACGCAGCGTTTTGTTAGCCCCCTTTTATTCTTTTTTTTTTTTTTTTTTTTTTG